GCCTTAAGCAAAATTGAGGCTGGTGTTTAAGATAGTAATAAAAAAGGCATCACAGGAGTGGGCCCCGCTCAGATTAATTTTAAATAACTTTAAGTAGCTTATATTTGTCCTGAGGGGGGGGGCACCTGTCTAGAGCTGAAAAAAAAACAGCTGAGAAGAACTGGCTGGAGAAAAAAAAAAGCTCAGCTGATGCTGGATCTCCTCTCCGTTCACAGCGGGGGAAAAAAAGCTGTGAACTACGAAGAAATCCTAGCGACTGAACTCCTCCCTGCCCCTTTCTGCCAAAAAGGATTGATATCTAATGATCTTTTTAGATATACAGACCAGAACTCTGAGGGGAGCCCCGTTGAGCTCCCAGCGGCGACAGACTCCTCCCCCGGAAGCCCCTAGTCTGTTTTTTCAAAAGACATTGGAAGAACCTCATGCTGAGAGGACTATGACAGGCTTTATGTCTGGAAATCAGGTTTGGCTTCCCGATTATGGAAAAATTGCCCGATAGCAAAGAAATGTCTCCCTTAATGACTTCCATGTTCATTGCAATAAAGATAGCAAATTTGGGGCCTATTATGTGATGTCCCACTTATGACCATCATGATTGATGAAGTGAAATTGCAGTGGAAACTCGAGGAATAACTGTACATGTGTATGATTCTGGTTTTAATACTATAACTACCTAAAGTCAGAGAAGCAAAAATAATGAACTTTTATTTTGTTCATCCACCAAGTATACATTACATAAGTAAATGAGATATGAGGATTTGTTTTTTTATGATGCACATTGAAGCTTGACGTGGAAGAAGTTTTGAGAACTCTTGGAGCATGAAATTCTCAAAGGACTATTATTATTTTTTTCCTTCGAGAAACTTTTTTAATTCTCCAGGAAGTAGCTGGACGAGCAGCTGAAACCACAGATTTTATTTCAGTCATAGTCAAAAATATTATGTGTTTTGTGCCTCCTTCTGATGTCCCTTTGCAGATACAGAAGGCATTTTGATTTGTCTCTGGAGATGGCAAAGAGCTTCTTGTCTGGCTTCAGATTCACTTTCTCTCACTGTGTGTCTAGCACAGAAATATACTGCTGTGTCTCTAGTTTTGAGGCTGCTCGTTTCAAGATACAGCTAGCTTTTGGCATTGCCCCTGGAGATGGTGAAGTGTCCCTTGACTTTGTCTAAGTAGTAAATGTATGATGAGCTTGGATATATCCAGGCCACCCATTAAAGTCCTTTCCCTTGAGCCTGTCTCACCCAGTCCATGCTCTAGCCACCAAAGTTAAATCCAGAGGCTTGGCAGGAGAGACGGAGGGANCAATGAACCCAGGTATGGTTCCTATTCCAGCCCCTTAAAAATCCAGATTTATCAAGTAACTTGTTTAGATAAACCGATGATATATATTAATACAAAAAAAATGAGAGTTGACTTTGTATGAATTATTCATGAAATATGACTGATACTAACAGGAAAGTCAGACTTACTTTAAATACCACTTTTCCATAATTTAGCACCTTCATATTTCTTATTAGTTTATAGCGAAAGACCAAACAAGGAACTCCAAAAGGTAAAAAACCATTAATAGAAAGAAGCATTCAGATAAATTTATGAGTCCAACTTGAACTGGGGTAGATCTATCCGATATGAAGATCCTACTTTGAAATAAATCTAACAGTTCACAAACATTTGAAGGAGATTTGGAGGCTGATGGGGAGATACAGAAAATATATTCCCACATGTGCACCTTGACACAAATCTGAATATAAATAAAAATGTTATGGTGGGAGGAGAAGAAAAATATGTAGTTTTGTCATTCTCGCTAGTTTGTCAGTCAGAAATGTATTTGGTAGAGCTAAAAAGATTAGATATATTCCATTTAATTTAGCAGGCTTAGTCTTTATTTCTGTAACATAAACTGTTTCTGAATTGGTGGCATTGGTATCTTCCCACCCATGTCCTCCCAAAAATTGGGACAGGAAAATTCCTTATTAGAAATATTGCTCATCTATCCTATACAATCTACCCAAAATAATATTATAATTAATACTTTGGCTTACGCCCCATTTGTTCTGAATGCAGATTTCATAATTATAGATGAGACAACTGTGCCTCTGAATTCAATCAAGTTGTCACAGCAAACAAGCTATTACTGTTTGATTTTCAAGGATAATCAATAGGATGGCATGAAGCTTTGGATTTCCAAACCGAAGACTTGATCAGTATTACAATGAATTAAGCATTTGGCAAGGTAATGCAAGCTGAATTAGGTAATTTTTCAAATCACTGAGCAAAGGTGCATTTCAACTGGGGGCCAGCGTTGCCCGCACCCCTTTCCTCCCCCTCCCCACTAAATACTAAAATAATTGGTTTCTATTGCATCCAAAGGGGGAAAAAAGTGCTTTTTTAAAGAACTGCAGTCTAAGAGTTGGGATCACCCAACAAATTATTATTTTTATTTTTTTATGCTTCAGCTTCTTTGATATTATACTGTATGATTAGCATCTCAGCAGCACAGAGCAAATTAGGAATTACAAATTAATTTTCTAATAGCTACAGTATGAGTTTCTGAAGTAGAAAAATATCAATATCAGCACTTCAAGCTTCTGATAATAAAACAAATAATATGATTATGTTTCCAAGTCTCAGATGTCTACTATTATTCACAGCAGCATGGCTCTGTGCAGGCATGTGAAAAAATTTAGAAAATGTTTTAAGTGCAAACGTTTCCATATTGAAAACTTCACAATATTTCCTTATACGAAAATCAACCCCTATTGTTTCTGAATAGTTAACAAGGATCTCCATATATTTGAAGAACAAAGGTAGCCTTTCGAAAATCCAGCCAGAGCTTCTATGAATGTCTAAGATTGACATATCCTGTGTTATAATGTTTTTTTAAAAAAAGAAATCATGTTTACTAGGTCACTAAGTCTGTCCCAGTTTATATTATGTAATGGACTGAAATGACAGAAACTTGTACAACAATAGACTGTCTCATAAACACAGGAATNTCATTATTTATGAAGTGAAATTGCAGTGGCAACTCGAGGAATAACTGTACATGTGTATGATTCTGGATTTTAAAACTATAACTGCCTAAAGTCAGTGAAACAAAAACAATAAACTTTCATTTTGTTCATCCACCAAGCATACATGACATAAGTAAATGAGATACGAGGATTTTTTTTTTTTTTATGATGCACATTGAAGCTTGGCATGGAAGAAGTTTTGAGAACTCTTGGGGGCATGAAATTCTGAAAGGACTATTATTATTTTTTCCTTCAAGAAACTCTTTTAATTCTCCAGGAAGTAGCTGGACGAGCAGTCAATTTCACAGCTAAAACCACACATTTTATTTCAGTCATAGTCAAAAATATTATGTGTTTTGCGCCTCCTCTGACATCCCTTTGCAGATACAGAAGTCAGTTGACGTCTCTGGAGATGGCAAAGAACTCTCTATGGATTCTACATAGACTTATTTACTGGAATCATACAATCCATTCTAGTCCATTCCCTGTTGACTTTCACAGACAACTCCCAACTCCGTATTGTGAGCTCTATGAACCATTACTGTTTCTTTGTAACTGCAAATGCAGAGGTTCCTTCACCTTCAATTCAAAAACAGAATATCTCTTTGGGCTTCTATTTTCACTAATTTATAAGGGTCTCCCTTTTTAAAGTCTAAAAGTATTCTACTGATCCATGGAGTATTCTAATTCTATGATGCAGATCGATCACCTGCTCCTCAGTTCAAAGACTCAAAGTCAAATTGCCACCAGAAGTTGTGAATGCTCCAACAGTTTTAAAGAATATGTTGGATAACCATTTGTCTGAAGTGGTGTAGGGTCTCTTGCCTAAGAAGGGGGTAGTACTAGAAGACCTCCAAGGTCTCTTTCAACTATGTCTATTCTATTCTATTCTATTCTATTCTATTCTATTCTATTCTATTCTATTCCTATTCCTACTCCTACTCCTACTCCTACTCCTACTCCTACTCCTACTCTACTCTACTCTACTCTACTCTACTCTACTCTACTCTAAAATATACCAAGGAAGATCTCTAGGACTTCAATCCATGTTTCTTCCTGTAAATGAAATTTAACTGTTTAAAAGTTACCTAGTTTATTCCACAGTCCCAAGATTTCCTCCTCCACCCCTCTACCAAAGTGCAAACTAGGTTAAACACAGGTTCCTTGGAGATAACATTTGAGGATCCACAACCTGTTATGAAGTTTATCTAGTGATTCACATTCAACTCCCTGTGACTGAATTATTTTGGAAAGCTGCTCAAAGGAGGAGAAGGTTTTTGCTTAGCATCAGATTCACTTCCTCTCACTGTGTCTCTAGCACAGTAATAGACTCCAGTGTCTTCAGTTTTGAGGCTGTTCATTTGCAGATACATCTGGCTTTTGGCATTGTCCCTGGAGATGGTGAAGCGGCCCTTGACTTTGTCAGAATAGTAGATTTCTCCTCCATCATAACGTATCCTTGACACCCATTCCAGTCCTTTCCCTGGAGCCTGTCTCACCCAGTACATGCTGTGGTCACCAAAGCTGTATCCA